CAGTCTGGGGAAAAGGCCATGGGTGGTAGGTGGGCTGGCCCTGCCCCTGATCGGAGTCGGGGGAGCCAATCGGCGGTGGAGCTGGCTCAGAGGAGAGACCGAAGGCAAATCAGTGTAGTGGGGACCCATCGGGGGCAGGGCCAGCTGGGGGGAGGGAGTGCAGGCAGTTGGCTGGCCAGCCCTGCCTCTGATCGGGGTGGGTGGTAATCAGGGGCTGGGCTGGCTGGGGGTGGGGCGTCGGGAGGTTGGCTTGCTGACCCCACCCGCTATTGGGCTGGTTTGTTGGCTACAGTGAATATCATAGCGACTGGTTGTTACCACATTATGGTTGCTACCTTGTTATATATATAGACTAGAGGCCCAGTGCATGAAATTTGTGCACTTGGGGGTTGACCCTCAGCCCAGCCTGCACCCTCTCCAATCTGGAACCCCTCAGGGTGTGTCCAACTGACCAGCAGTCAGACATTCCTCTCACAATCTGGGACCGCTAACTCCTAACCGTTCCCCTGCCTGCCTGCTTGATTGCCTCTAACCCCTTCTGCCTGCCAGCCTGATCGCCCTCTAACTGTTCCCCTGCCAGACTGATGGACACCTAACTGTTCCCTTACCAGCCTGGTCACCCCTAACTGCCCTCCCCTGCCAGCCCGATCACTCCCAACTGCCCTCCCCTGCCAGCTATCTTGTGGCGGCCATCTTATGGTGGCTATATTGTGGTGGCCATCTTGTGACAATGTCGGGGCAGCCATCTTGTGACAACATGGGGGTGGCCATATTGTGATGATGTAAGGTCAGCCGTCTTGTGATGATATGAGGGCAGCCATCTTGTGATGATGCAAGGGCGAGACACCACCTAAGCTTTTATTAATATAGACTAGAGTTACTGTGTACGAAATGCATGTCCCTCAGCCCAGCCTGCACCCTCTCCAATCTGGGACCCCTTGGGGAATGTCTGACTGCTGGTTTAGGCCCAATCCCTGAGCAGTCAGACATCCCTCTCATAATCCAGGACTGCTGGCTCCCAACTGCTCACCTGCCTGCCTGCCTGATTGCCCTAACCGCTTCTATCTACCAGCTTGATTGCCCTAACCGATCTCCTACCGGCCTAATTGAGGTCTTACTGCCCCCTGCCAGCCTGATCACCCCGAAGGGCCCTCTCCTGCTGGCCTGATTGCCCCCAACTGCCCTCCCCTGCCACGACCTGCTTCCTGTGCCAGCACTCACCTCTTCCACATGAGCTGGCAGAGACGCTGGGACCCACCTTGTCCAAGTCACACAGAGCCGTGGGACCCCCAGTCCTCATTGTGATGAGCAGCCACCTGGCCCCACCTCTGTTGTGTACGTGGCCATCTTGTGGTGGCCATCTTTCTGGCAGCCATCTTGTGGTGGCCATCTTGTGATTATGTCGACGTGAGAGTGCAAGGACCACCTAGGCTTTTATTAGTACAGATAGTTTATCAGGTCATCTCTAGGACTCTTGGAACCAAACATTCAAGGGAATGAATTATAGCCTAAATTGTCAATTTGTTAAGTTGGTTGCTTTCCCTCTATCACTAAACTACTATAGTCTAACATCTTTGTATAAAGGTTCCTGAGAAAATGAAGTACTAATTTTGAAATGTTTCTTAGAGAATATGTAAAAGAAGAACGAAGTGAATATTATTATGGGCTCTTTTCCAAGTTAATAAATAATCTTGAAATCTTAGGAATTACTATTGTTTTTTTTATAAAGTATGTCTATCTTGTGATTAGCAAATTCTTGATAAACACTAACATATTCTTTCTATCATCTATCTATCTGTCATCTCCTACCTACCTATCTGCTTGACCAATTATTCTCATGACAAACAATTTAAAATACAAATGAGTAGTTTTCTTCTTTCTATTTTTATTCCTTCCTCTAAAACCTACCTTTTCTTAGATTGTATATATATTTAGAAAAATCATTGGTCTTATTAGAAACAGATTTTAAATGAAGTACTTATGTCAGTGGCTACACTCACTTATTTTATAGTTATTTCTTCTTATTTACATTTCAAAAGCTGAAGATTTTACTCCTTTATCCCCCAAATCTTAAAACATGTCATTTGAAGTTTACACTATTCCACACATTTACTGCCACCCAAAGGTATTTGAAAACTAACTGAATTATTACGTTTCCACTTGAATATTTGACACTAAATACACATTGCTTCAGAGTTCAATTCTTAATATAACTTGTCATGGAAATAAAATTAGGAAGACAGGAAAGTAAACTACTATCTATTTATTGGTAGATAATTCTCACTTAAAATATCTTGATTTCTTTAGGCCCTGGACATTCTGGCTTGTGTTTATTTTAATATTATGAACTGTGTAAAAATGAAGCAATTACATAGGAAAGGAGAGAATAATAAATTATATTTGGTCAATATCCAACATGTGAATATTTAGACTTAGAAACCTAAAAGACTTTTGTACAGAAGAACTATGTCCAGGGATTATTGGATACAAAGTATAACATTCTGCACTCAGTTGCCTATATAAAAAAAAAAAAAAAATTCTGCTTTGGCTGATTTGGCTCGCAGTGGATAGAGCATTGGCCTGGGGACTGAAGGGTTCCAGGTTCGATTCCAGTCAAGGGCACATGCCCAGGTTGTGTGGGCTCAATCCCCAGTGAGGGCATGCAGAAGGCAGCCGATCAATGATTCTCTCTCATCATTGATGTTTCTATCTCTCTCTCTCTCTCTCTCTCCCTTCATCTCTGAAATCAATAAAAATATGCTTTTTAAAAATAATAATTCCTTACTCTTCTTGTGGTTAGGAATGTAGAACCCACATGCTTCTTTAAATTATTATTTCCTCCTACAGATGACCACCTTCTTAGAGCATATATGTAATAACCAAGGAATGGTTGACAAACATGTATTTTCTGACTGTTGCAATGTAAATAACACAGCAAGACATAAGTGCTTCCTATTAAATAAAAAAGATGATGCAAATTACAGCGAAATATTGCACATTCCAAATCTTGAGCAGATCTGTGAGGTAAACAAAAGGAATCAAGTGTTAGTGAAGAAGAGGTAAGTCATTTCTCCTTGCCGTTGTCTTTGAAGAAGAGTATTTTCCAGTTTTGAAGACAGGTCTTTTTTACATAGCAGCCTCTGAGAACACAATGCTCTATGACATGGAATTAAAGTGAAAATTTGAGCTACAATATATTTTTTCTCCCTCTGAATGACAATTATGGCCTTAGTGAACTCAATAGGATATGGAAATGTCTGAGCCATGAAACATTAAAAGTGACTAGAATCTATAATGGATCCATCTCCTTAAAGGTTACATTAGTCAAACCAGAAGCAAATGATATTGAAATGTATAGTCAAGCAGGTAAAGCATAATAAACAGAAAGTACTAGAAACAGAGAGCAGGTAATAGCTCAGGCAAGGGGCTGGCATTTGGGATGTTCATCAGAGGATATCAGGGATGGTATCCGATAGGCATGGACACAGGGTCTGTCATTGGGACACTAGGAATAAGTAACAATTGTAGATGTCAGAAATGAGTTTTCTACACAAGAACTCTGATTCTATAAGTCCCACCTGGAGTGGACAGCATATGGCAAATGGGTAGGCAAGCTCATATTTTGGTCTTCTAGTTAACACAGGAGTCTATATGTTGAGAGTACTATGCTAGCAAGTGGCTGGGGTTTAGAGGCAGGAAATCAATACCCAGGGAGGTAGAAATGACAAGATAAATACAAGGCTTCAGTTCTCAAGGAATCCAGTTCTGGCCATCTTACCAGTACAGGCTCAGGCACCAGGAATAAGGCAAAGATTTGATTGCTGGATCTAGAGTGCAAGTCATGGAAGAAGTTTGATTTCAGGTTTTAGTTATGAAACTCTAGGCCAGAGATGAATGGGCAGACAGGGTGACAATGCTGAATAATGCTATTTCTTTTAATTTACCCATAAAAGGGCAGAATTGCTCCAGCAATTACTGAGCCTTCAAGAAAAAATTAAGTGTCCTCAGCCATGTAGGGAGAAAGGATGATGGAACAGAAATTGGATAGGGTCCCAACTTGTCTGACATTAAGGGCACCTAAATGGGAATGGAAAAAAGGCTACCCATTTAATGTAGGTGAGAATTATAGAATCAGATTTGGGTTGAACTTTCAGAGATTAAAAATTCCAACCAATACTCAGGCAGCAAATTTAACCTCTTCCTGAATATTTGTAATAAAGTCAGTAATTAAGGGGCTATTTTATTTGCTAATTTTAACTTATGTGCATACAACTATAAATATTCAAGGGACAAATAATTTTCTACTACTTGTCTCATAATTATAAGCCAAGAACTTGATTTAATTCTCAACCAAAGAAACAGTAATTTATATCAAAGCTGTAGAAAAAGTCAGCTACTTTGGACTGAAAAGATAACACAACTTTTTTAGTCTAGAAAGAACCTCTAAATTTAATTCCTCTGTACTCGTGTACAATCCTGCGTTTATAATTCAGTTTAGACTATTGAATTTTCTAATTTCTATGCTTATATAAGAGTGAAAAGTTTTGATTCCTGATTCTCTTTCCCCATCACCCCAGAGGTACACTTGGTTACCTCATGGACAGTCGAAATGCCTGACTGACTTCACAGTAATCTATCCATTATGAACATTTGATGCATTTAAGTATAGCTAGTTCATATCATTCACACCATGATATTCTAGATGTTACAGGTCAACAAAACTAAGTGAACCCTAAATTGTTTTTTAAATATATTTTTATTGATTTTATAAAGGAAGGGAGAGGAAGAGAGGGAGATAGAATCATCAATGATGAGAGAGAATCATTGATCGGCTGCCTCCTGCACACCCCCACTGGGGATTGATCCCGCAATCCAGGCATGTGCCCTTGATCAGAATTGAACCCAGGACCTTTTGGTCCACTGGCCAACACTCTATTGACTGAGCCAAACTGGCTAGGGCAACCCTAAATTTTTAAGAAACAGCATCTGCACATGTTCTTGAACTCCAAAGTACACAATTTCCGGTTTGTCAAAATTACAGGTACATTTATGAAACTTCTAGAAAGCATCCATTCTTGTATGGACCCACTATTCTGACCATGTCTGCTTGCTATGGAACAGCTGTTCAGTCATGTTTCCAAGAAGATAATAAGATTGAATGCCTCCAGATAAAGGTAAGATACTCATATGTTAACTGTTATTCAGGGCCTTGCTATGCAAAGTGTGGGCTGTGGATCAAAGGCATATGCATCACCTGGAAGCTTATTAGAAATGCAGAATCTGCAGCTCTTTCCAGACCTACTAGACAAGACTTCATTTTAACAAGATACTTAAGCAATATGTATAGTCATATAAATTTGAGGAGCATGATCTAGCATAGATATTACTCCATAATAAATATTTAATATCTCAGTTACTGTTGCTACATAACAGAACATCCCAAATTTTAGTGACTTAAAACAATCATTTCATTCTCTTGATTTTTGACTGGCAGGGATTTAGGAAGGACTCATCTGGACACTTCTGTCCCGTGGCCTTTCATGTGGTTATAGTCAGACAATGCTTGGGTCTGGAACTGAAGGGCTGAAACATTGGGGCGGGGGCGGGGCGGTCGGGGGGCGGAGGTGCTTCAACATCTCTTTCTTCTCATACAATCTCAGGGCCTCTCCAAAAATTCTCTCTGCTGTTGACAAAAGAATGCAAAAACCTGTAGAGAATTTTTAAAAGAATTTATTTGAGCTAAACTGATGACACTGCCAGAAACCAAAATCTTAAATGCTTGGGAAAATGGTATTTTGGCAGTTTTATACATTGGATAGTTAACAAGATTATAAAGTATTTCAAAGATGGTAACATAGATGTACAGAAACAATGGACAGGACTTGATTAAGGCAAAGATAAACATTTTGCTAAAATGTCAGCCCACTATGATGGGCCCAGTTAGGAAGCTGTGATCAGATCACCCTGTGAGGTTATTTTTGGTGAGATTTATTATAGCCTCTTTTCATTGCCCATAATGCCTTAAGTAGTTTGGGCTTCCTTACAGCATGGCAGCCTTGGGCAATTCCACTGCTTTCCCATGGCCAAAGTCTTTAAGAATGAGTATTCTAGTGGGTAAAGCAGAAATGATATGTCCTTTCAAGACCCAGACTCAGATGTTACTTCTGCCATACTCTGTGGTTGAAACACCACGAAAACTCATCAGTGTGAAGGGGACAGTCTATAATAATCTTGTAACTTTTGATGGGAGAACTGTCAATGTCTCACTGTAAGATGAGCATAAAATAGAAAACATTGCTGTAGTCATCTTTGGAATATACAGTCAGCCACACTTAGTTTTAACCATGTGGCATTTTGTCCTTCATTAAATTATGTATATAGTTGTAAATGTGATTAATTTCATGACAAAATATGTTTTGTGTGTACAGATTAAAGGTTCTAAATATCAATGTACAATAACCATTTTTTCTAGAGGAGGCACCAGATGGATTTTCCAAAGGTTATGATGAAATGAGTAGTAGTTTGATAATCACATTGATGAATTCCTCAAGGCTAAAAGCAGTGCCGCTTCTTCCTTGCTGTTTTCTTTTTTAATCTTTTCAATGAGATGTTATCTCATATTCTTCTAAACTTCTATTTCTCTATTTCTTTACATTGTTTCTCCTATTGAGCTCTTCATTGTCTACCTTGTACAAGAAATTAAATTATATATCTAAAGAGTTTCTGGCATATGCTAATATGCAATAATTATAGCTATTATCATTAAACTAGAGACCTAGTGCATGAAATTTGTGCACTTGGGGGGGGGGTCACTCAGCCCAGCCTACACCCTTGCAGTCCAGGAGCCCTAAGGGGATGTCCAACTGATGGCTTAGGCCTTCTGTGGGGAACTGGCCTAAGCTGGTAGTTGGATATCCTTAGTGCTGCTGTGGAGGCAGGAGAGGCTACCGCCACTGACCCTGCACTCGTCAGCTATGAGCCTGGCTTCTTCCCCCTGGTGGTTAGTGTGTGTCATAGTGACTGTTGTTCCGCCATTCAACCAATTTGAATATTAGCCT